TAGATGTTAGAAAAGGGATCAACAGCTGAATCCAGCTGCTGAGAATGAGCTTTGTTACAGCTGCCAGAGGCCGAGTGTCCCTCTGGAGACTCTCGGCTGTTTTCTTTGCGTCTCTCGCGCTCTCTACTTTCACTGTGCTCACACAGTCTTTCACAGAAACTTGGAAGCAGTGCTGAGAGGTCTGTCTCACCTGCAGCAGACAGTCTGGGTGACAGACTGTACTAATGAAATTTTGTGTCCCACAAGGGGGATATATAAGCCCATCTTCCTTCCTTGCCAGATGCGGGCAGGAAACCCCTCCAGTGAACTTTCATACCTCACAACTTCTGCTTTACAGCCAGCACTCAATGCGGTTGCATCACAGCACTGAGGTCTTGTAAACATTGCATACTCTTACCACTCAGCACTCACATAATGGACAGCAACCAGCAACAAATTTGGGCTGTGTTTTGCAAAATATCACTGGCTGCTGCCCGTTTGTTTGGACATTAGACATTTGGGAAACCATGATATATTATGATGGGCATATTTTCCTGCATTTACAATGAAAATTTCTCCTAATAATTATTAATAGTTATGAATAAATAATAAATTAAATCTTTGCAGCTCTACAGTATAGTTAAATGCAGTAGTTGCACTTTAATCCTTAAATGCAGGGTTCCTTTCATGTTGTTTCACAGTTCGACATGCGCACACCCACAGCTTTGGTTTTACACTAATGAACAGTATTTCCTCCCAGCTTCTGTATTCAACCATATAACATTAAATTTTCACCACAACCTTCTCCTCTTCCTGTGCTGTTGGACAGAAAGAGGCGGCAGATTTGCTGATGGACGGCTAAGCACAATAAAATGCGTTCAGCTGTCTCGAACAGAGCAACTTTGACCTGAACACCCACACTCTATCCAGATGTACATCAGTGTTTATGTTCGCTTCATTGCCCCTGCTAGGCCCAGGAGTAAGTGTTCGAGGAAGTATTACATTCACGAACACATTAAATAGCACATCCAGTTTCCTGCAATTTTACCATTCCCTGAAAATACTGTTATACCACAGAGCCACAATGAAGCTCGGTAGTTAGCAGGAGGAAAAAGAAACAGAAAAGGGAGACCAAAAACAGAGTCAGCTTGCCTCAAGCTAAACCAGTCTCAGAGGAAGAAAAAGCCAGTCTGGTATTAAAACAGACAAGTGAGTATTTCGCTTGACAAAAACCATCTCCAGGAAAATGTCTGGTGAAAACTGATTACATGGTTTGTATACCAAAATATCCATATGAAACTGGCAGTTCCCCTCATTTTCATAGTTTACCTCACTTATTTTCAAAATGCTGCAGTGTCATTTGAATGTTTTTGGAAGAGCTTAAGTTGACAAGGTAGTTGTTATGAAAAATGTGTGATTGAGCAGGTGTCACGTTCAGTCACCAAATCATTACATTTTGCATTTTCGTTTTGTAAAGTTCAGTTTGGGTGAAATTCAAAATGAGCCATTTTTATGTTTCGAATTTTTATGGGCTGAAAATGTGGTCGCCGTTCAGCGGTAGCTGCTGAAACAGTGAGAGGAGAAACTTTTTATGGAGAAGGAGAGAGCTGCAATTTCAAAATACGAAATACTGAGGTTCACGTGCCACTTGCATTAGCCAACTTCATAGATTTACTGTCAGATATTAAATTTTCATTCAGTTTTTAATATGAAGTCAAAAGTATGCTATACTGAAAAGACTATAAAAAGCAAGGTCTAATTCATCAATGTAGGCGTTCCAGGGAGGAACCTAAACCAAAAGCACCATCCACAGTTTATCACTGAATACCTGAGTCTTCACTACACAACAAAGCACTTATTTAACAGCTAATAAAGAGCTGAGGACACTGGATTTGTATCACTGTTATTAGAACCTGCTTAGTCATTAGAAGGTAGGTGGTCATTGTAGTAGAAAGAAAACTGCGGAAACTGTGAGTGTGAAAAAAACACTAGAAAGAAGCTCAATCATTCACACGTTTTCTCGAGGGGAATTATGGGTATTTTTCCCTCACAGAGTGGTTTCTTTTATGTTGCCAGGAATGGAGTACTGATTCATAGTGCCACTTCACTGAGGTACCCCTTTCAACTAGGTTTTCTTTAAAGCATTCAATGTGAAATAATAGATATGTTTGAATGCTGCTTTATGTGGTATCTAAACTTAAAAAAAAGGCTCATAGTAGGTCTGCCCACGAGAAATCATAGGCAAAGAATAATACTCATAGATTAATGTTTTTTGAAGGAAAGAGATTTTCAGAAACGGAAGCAAATTAGGCACCAAAACAGCAGATAAATGCAAAAGTTTGAATACAGCTTCAAGAAAGTCTCACAGAAAGCAGTCTTCGTCTCATGTTGCTAAGGGGTTTGCAGCAATAAAAGCGGTCCATTCAGTCATGAACGTGGGGGAGGTGGCTTTAAAAATTAGTTCTGGCCTATCTTCACACCTAGGTAATGAGAAATGAAGTGAGATCAGATAAGAATTTAGCGTCTGCCGGACAAGCAGACAGACAAGGAAGCCCCCCTGCTTATGTCACCTCCGCTACTCATGCAAGCGCTTGTCAGGGTTCATTTCCCCCTCAGCTGCTCAGAGACCCCCTCTCGCCTTTCTGCTGGAGCCAGAACAACCCGAAAACAGACAGAGGGGCAATTCTTAGCAGAGACCCTCCAAATGAGCCAAGAGCCGCAATGATATGAGGCGTAAATTATTCCCCAGTGCAGGATTGTGACACAATCAACTGAAAACTTTCATTACTTATTACATATGTAAAAGCCAAGACAACCATGTGCCTCATTATGTTTAACAACGACTTATATTACTTATATTATATTCTTCTTCCTCAATCAAAAGCCTCTGATTAACAGATGTGATAAAATGACGCAGAAGTAATAACTTTTTTCGTCTTATTACTTTCTTATTATTCAACAAGGTCTTCACACATTTGCATTAAAAAAATACACTTGTATGAAATGTAACAGTTCCTCTTGAGTGAATGCATGCTTGCAATCTGGAACGGAGATATAATATGAGGCAAGAGAGCATAATTTATAAAATGAAGTGTGGACTGTAGAAAGTTGCGTTGGTATTGTGGTTCCGGATATGGATTCGGATATGTGTTGTAGAGTTATATTGAACCTCGACACCATCCAGAAAACTTGTAAATTGGACACAGTTGGAAAACTAATAAAGGAGAATGGAATTAGTAACGCCTCATGAAACACATTCCATAATGCAGCTCATAGTTTTCAAGTGCTGTTTTTCATGTCGAATTTGATTTCCCCTCTCCAGGGTGACCTATTTTCTTTGCAGCAGATCTCATATATTGAATTACAAGAGTGATGCCTGTTAATAGGATTAAGCCCTTATTTTTTATTTATCCCCCCCCACACACACACACACACACACACACACACACATCTAATTATAAAGTCATCTGTAAAAGCATCTGATGTATAGTGAAAGTGACAAAAAATAATCACGCCACATGAGAATAGCCCTGAAACACCCACAGATGGGAGGAGGAGAGTGAAAAGGTAACGTGATAATCATAATGTCCATACTATAGGTTTTTTTGGGGGGGTGGTTTTGTCTGTGAAAGATGGGTACACTGAGAATTTTATCTACAAAGAGAAAAGGCAGTCATCAGATGTCTTGCTGAGATGTTTGGATGTAGAACTGGCACCCTAAGTAAGAGCAGTCTGTTCTCACATGGGCCGCCAAACACCCGTCTGCAACAACCAGTGAAGCCCAAGAGAGGCCAGAGAGCAGAGGCTTTGAAGAACTACTTCATACTTGGACTCAGTAGGACCCACAGATCAAGCATGTCATACTCTTAGGAACTGTCTGAGGGCAGGTAGTAAGCAGCCAATGGAGAGTAAAGACAGAACTCTGAAAATCGCTGGTTCGAAAGAAAACATGAAATCGTTTTTTCCTTAAACTTTTTTAATCAAACATGAACTCCAGCTCACACTGGAAACAGTGATCTTAGAGTTCCACAGTCCAAAACATACATTTTTTAATTACTCTTTGGTCGACTTTCCAATTTTCAAAATCAATTTCAGAACATTCCCCTTTCTCATTACACTTGCGGTCTTTTTGATTTATAAACTACCCACAAAAAGTCCTTGTAGTGCCTTAACTACATTTAAGTGTCACAGTATGACATTGTGTCTCCTTTCACCCCTCCCTCATCCACAGCAAAATCCTGGGCCAAGATCTCATCTGCTAGGCCGTCCATCTGGGCTGCACTCTATTTCCAACTCCTTGATCCATGCAGTACTGCTGTACACACTTGCAAAACAGAATCTCTATACTCGTAAAAAGAAACTCCAGCTTGCTGATGTGAGAAATGGCTTGAATGACACCTGATATGCCTCATTTTCTCTTTGTAATTGCTGTCTTTTTATTAATAAATGACTAGTGGAAATTATTTTTTACCAGAAAAAAACACTGCATTTACATGGGGTGCTCTAATTTGTCTGAACTTTAATTCATCTTGTCGCTTATGGCCATTTTTTTCTCACGCTCAACAACCCTAATTAAGGTGCCTTTTGAGACTGAAGTGACATCTATTTCTTTGGATAAAGCCCTGAATTTGTCTCTGTCTGTGAATATGTGAAAAACTCCTTTGTGCCTCGGCTGACGGAGGACTTTGCACTGCCTCTGTTACCCTGGAAACCTTTTGAGAGGTGAAGGAGAGGACAGCCAAGGAGCAGATCATGTTGGCCTAAATTTGCAGGTAAATCCTCACTAAGGCTGTCCAATTTAAACAGCTTTAGCATTAAATAATAACCCTCGATGAGGAAAAAAGGAGTTACTCTGACAAACTTCTGTTTTATTTATCTAATAACTTTCCATTTGTCGCTCTCCACAGTTGCACCAAAGTCCAATGCAGACCCTTACATAAGCAAAGTGTTAAAGCGTGGGAGTGTTGATCAAATCAATCAATTCATAACCTTTTACTGAATTAAAACATTAAAAATCCTACCTCGAGAATGCAGGTCCCCGGTGCTGTGTTCTCCTCGACAGACACGTTGTAGAAGTTTCTCTCAAAAACAGGCTCGTTGTCATTTATATCCTGAAGAAAGATGTTTACAACTGCAGTGGATGAAAGAGATGGCTTTCCTCCATCAGTGGCCACCACAGTTATACTGGGACTAGGGTTCTTTTCATAATCCAGCTGGGAGAGAGTGGTAATAATGCCAGTAATGGAGTCTATACTGAACCAGCTGTAATAAGCACTTCCATCTTGTAGGATGCTGTAGCTTATGTCCCCATTTGGCCCCTGGTCTTTATCTCTAGCTGTTACCTGTAACACAAAGCTACCTGGAAACACCACTTCAGGAATGACCTGCCTGTACACTGGTTGGTCAAAGAGAGGAGGATTGTCATTGATGTCAATCACTTGGATAGTGAAGGAGGATTCAGCCCTGAGCGGAGGCATGCCGGAATCTGTCGCCATCACCCTCAGCTCATAGGTGTCTCTTTCCTCGCGGTCCAGAATCTGATCCACACAAATCAAATAGATTATGCTATCTTTAGTGGTCAGGGCAAACTTTCCATCACCTCCCTCTAGTGACACATTGACATTAGCATACTCTCCGTAGTCTGGGTCAGTGACTGAGATGCGGGCTACGTACTGGCCTGGCTGTGCCCCTTCTGAGATTCTGGGAGATCCGTCCTCACTGAGAAAGATGATGGTCATTGTAGGCTGGTTGTCATTGTAGTCTCTGACATGAATGGTGACAAAGGCATTGGTCACTTCTGGGTGAGTTGCGTTGTCTTGCGCCTGGACCACCAGCTCGTGGACCCTCCTCATCTCGAAGTCCAGTGGTTTGTTGAGGGTGATGATGCCAGTGCGAGAATCTATGACAAAGTAGCGATCTGGGTCGCTTTGTCTCCTGTTAATTTCATATAGCACCATCCCATTATCGCCCTCATCAACATCTGTGGCAAACACCTGCAGGATGTTACTTCCTGGTTGAAGGTTTTCAGATATTATAGCATGGTAGCGGCTCTGGTTAAAAACAGGAGCGTTGTCATTAATATCTTGCACAGTAATATCTAACGTCATCTGATCAGTTCTTTTGGGGGACCCGCCATCAAAAGCCTCCAAAGATAAAGTATAGGTGGATCTTTTCTCTCTGTCTAGAATGGTATTGACCACCAAATCCAGATAGAGAACTTCATTGCTTCCTCTCCTGGTTTCCAAGGTGAACGCCTGGCCAACATTTCCATCCTTGATAAGGTAACCCTGTGTCGTAAGCTGCCCTTTATCACTATCAACAGCTGGCTCGAGAGGAAACCTAGTGCCGATAGCTGTCTGTTCAGGAATTTTAAAAGTGGCTTGCTTTCTGGGGAACTTTGGAGCATGGTCATTTATATCATTCACCTTGATGGTCACCTCTACTGTCACACCTGTCATGGTGACTGCAATGAAGTTGTACCTATCCCTTAATTCTCTATCCAGAACTTTGGCAGTTTTAATAATGCCTGTGCTTTCATCTATATCCAAATCACTCCCTACTCCTGTGCCCTCATGGTCTGAAATGAAGTACAAGGATGCTGTTACGCCAGGGGGGAGTCCTGCACTGATGTCACCTACAATTGTACCTGCTGGTTGCTCCTCATCTAGCTGTAGCTCAAGGGTTCCCAAGACCACAGGTGAGTGGACTGCTATAAGCTCCAAGACCACATATACCATTAGCACTATCCTTTGGCTCCACCAACCCTCACGATGCAAAGAATCCATTACAGACTTCCCAAAACCCTTGGCAGCAGTCTTCATTTTGGCCCCTTCGTTTTAAACCTAGAGACACACAGAGAGGAAAGGCTGAGCAATATCAAAATATTATTAAAAAAAAGTCAGAACAGCAGAAACTAAGTAAAGGTGTAATATTTTTATAGAAGGTCGTTTAAGACACCTAGGTAGCCTACATGCCTTAAACACTTTCCCATATGTTTTATTGACTTTGCTCCTACCCACACTATATACAACTGGCCAAGCACATAACATTTTCCTTCACTTCTTTTTCACCTAATAAGTCGACACCTTGTTTCTCTCATATACCAGAGAGCTCCCCTTTGCTAAAGAAACATCAAAGCCACAGGCCACAGCATACCACTTCAGACAGGGAGTCTTTAGCTGTTGCTCTGCAGCTTTAATTAAAAGGGTGCGAGAGTCAGTTTTGCCAGGCTACCCCGTGTGTTTGCCATAGCTGTTCGCCTTTGTATAAGTCTGGGAGGTGAAGTCCTGGATTTAATATTTACCACCACATTTATCTTTCGTGGAATGAGGAATTTTAAAACAATCCCCCCCAAGAACCCTTTCAAATAACTCTCCTTAGGCAAACATATTGAGTTTATGAGAAGTAAGAGTGTGAGTGTTAAATCAAGGGGAAAAAATATTGAAACACTGATATTTAAAAGCAGCAAGGGTATTAGGATTTCTTGCATAAACAATAGGCACACTCTGGCAAAGGATCCACACCACTGCAGAGGAAATGTAATTGAGACTGAGAGACACTGTGGAGCAATGTGGAAATGTTTCAACAAGACTGTCACCATCTGCAGAATAATCCAAAACCACCAAGTGTCTGGCTCAAAGAAAATTATTGTGTCGTTTTCATTACATAAAAAGACAGGCTTCCAATTGTCTGTGGTTCTGTGTAATAGGTCTAATTCATAATGACTTTAACTTCCTGGTTAAGTACATTTTGCTTTAATTTAAAGAAAATATATACAGAAGTGCATCAATATTTGAATGGCTGGCTCTCTGTAAAAAGCTCTTTAAGGCTCCCCCCAGTGGATTAATTGATACCTGCAAGGAAACATTCAAAGACATCTGCGCATCTGTGTGTGAGCATGTGTCTGTGCGTGTGTGTGTGTGTGTGTGTGTGTGTGGACTAAATGCCTTCCTGAATGCTGTGTGGCGATCTGTCTTAGCCACAGTGGTAACAGTGTATTTGAGTGACAGAGCAGTACTGCAGAATTGAAGGGCTCCATGCAGTCTACCTCTTTCCCTTTTTCTGGCTCTGCAGCATTGTAATTGAGGTCTGCTGGAAGTTGGCCATGAGCACACAAGATTCCAGGGCTAATTTCAGTCTGCCGTGATTCAGAGCCCACAACACTGAAGATGCTAACTTTTAACGTCATAAATTGCTTTGAATTTAGTGTGAGTAGCGAGAAACCTTGTATCACATCTTGTTTTGAAATATGGCATGAGAATGTGTCCTGTTTGCATCTGCTGTGTTACCGGTCCAAGATGATTCAATGGTTTAGGCATAAAAAGGAATTCTGAGCCAATTTGCTCCATTAATCTCTAATTCTTATTGCTTTCACAGAGACCATAATAATTGCAAATGACAAAACCATAAAAGGCGAGCGCTACAAATTCACCATTACATAGTACAGTTTGGGTTGTTTTCTGAGTGCTGTTCTTGGCAAAAAACATAAGCACATCCATGACAGGCTGAAAATCTTGACAGCACTTGAACTTTAAAGCCTCAGTACTGATTTACTTTACTAAAACACTGGGGATGAACTTTTACAAAGCTCCCTCCAGTGCACAAAGGATAGCTTTTCAAGGCCAGACTCCCTGACCAAATACCACAACTGAAATAATGCAGTTTCTGGTTGAGCTACAGTGGAGGACCTCTGCAGAGCAGCGCAGCCTAATGGATATAACATACACACAGTTGGGTAAGCTAATTGAACAATACCAGGTAAAGCAGGGCACGTGGTTTCAAAAGATTCAGTGTGAGATTAAAGAGAAATCTATGCAGACTAAAGCTAAGATGTTAGCCTAATATATAACTGCTGTTGCCCACCCACGCAGGTATCACTGAGTTTCATACCTGTTCCTAAATTGCCAGTGAGAAGTCACATGTGTCAAGCTTTGGGAAAGAAAACTCTTCAAAGAGGCTGCTGATGGTTAAAAGCTGTTGCATTAAGTAAGCCAATCCGATTGTGGTTTGGATTCAAGCATTTTTCTTGCATAATTGTCCTAGAACGTGACTCTCTTCTTCTGGTAGTTAAATACTGTTAATGGCTTTTGCAAAGATGACGCAACCGCTGGTGGATTAATCCCATGTTCTCTGAACAAAGACACTAAAATGTTTACTTTGCACGAGCTTCACTATTTTTTTTTCTCTAAAACTGGCGTGTGTGTGTAATATATCACGCACACCTCAGTGTTAGCTGAAACTGTAGCATTGACCCAGTTTCTTTTGAATCCTTTAAACCAAGTCGAACGACCGAATCGTTGGTTCGTGGGATTTACATACAGAATGAAAATCTCTGTTGGAATAAACTAGATATCATTGTGAACACTTTGGTAGCATGACTGAAATCTGCATCAAAATCCCTGGCAGCCTTGAATGCTGGGAACATCAGGGCAGCACTTTTTCCCCCTCCACTGTAGTCTAAATCGTGTTTGGCAAAATGTATTGGATATTAACGTCTAATAGCTGAAAATACTTGGGCTTATTTATATCTGGCTTTACAGTTTTGGGTGAAGTATGAGGTCTATTTGTCTTTCTCTGCTGCTATGAAGACAAGTAGGCCTTTGGTTTGGCAACTACTACAACAAACAGTATCTAAACAAACACTACTTCTGCCTCCCTCCATGAGCCATAACCAACATTACATAGAAGAATGCCAACACTCTCATGAAAATATAATTCTTAGCAATGCAAAGTAAAAGACACTTTAACCCTTAGCAGTCGGACGTACCGCCCACGGGACATTGGATGGTTTAGGGGACTAATTGGACTGCTAAGGGGTTAAAAAAAAGGAGAATTAAAACAGTGGATTTACCACAGATCATCCTGCCAAGTCATATCATTTCATCTGAGAATTTATACATATGTTTTGAATAAAGAATGCCTCTCAATTGCCACTAACTGAACAACTGTCAAACACTGGCCTCAAGCAAATGTCTTAATCACAGACAACATCGGAGATAGCTTCTTGTGAGTAAATGATGTGCTAACTGGAAATACATTATTGGTTAAAAATCGCCCTCCATCAAACAAAAGTTTAGCAAATTACCCCCAAAATAAAGCAGGCTACTACTTCATTAACGCAACCAAAAAACCTATGTAACACTAACAAACCAAGAGGGACGACTATAGTGACAGACTGCATAAAATGAGCTTCTAATTCCATGTCATGAGTCTAGTTACTCACAGAAAACGTCTGTGGTTTCAAGAACACGCCAGCCTGCTTGGGGCTCGATGGAGCCATAATGGAAACCACAGACAGAAATGCAGATTGACTGGACATGAGGATGGCAAGCTTAGCTCAAAGCAAACTACAATGCTCTGAATGTTTGCCAGACTAAGTGCCACATTTCTGTACCTTGCATTACTCTTTGATACTTCAGTCGTTGGGCATGTAGTCTTAAAAAGCCCTTGAAAAACCATGACAGGCCCTTCCTGACAATAACAAACATCACATTGGGAAAACCCACAAGCTACATTTTTTTCACTGTGAACCCTTCAGTTCAAGGTTCTGAGGGTCCATGACAAAAGGGATCATCTCTTTCCCACAACAAGAGCAGCATGGGTTGGTTCAGCTGTTTGTGTAAGATATTCAGGATAAAAAACACACACACCTAATATCTTTGAAGATGACACTGCCTGACATTGCACTGGCAGTGCTAGTGATTGCATCATTAAAAACAGATGTGTATCGTGTTACAGTAGCAAGGGTGCAAGGAGCAGCAACAGTACTAAGGTAAAAGTTTTCCTGACACACATTTTCTGATTATAAAAAGGGCAGGTCTCATTGGGAGTTTTTAAATCTGCGGGTGTCCAGATTGACATTCTTGCTTTCGCATTGATGCAACTTTTTTTTTAAATGACAGGGACTGGTCATAAATGTTGAAATGAACTTTGGAGGCGACAGCTTTCTGGCAAAGTGCCCTCAGACGCAATAGCTGATTTACACTCAGCTTGTTTGAGCGATGATTGAACTGCAAAAAGATGAGCAAAACCACAGTCGGGCAATTTTCAGAATGTGCAAGGCAGTGAGAAACGTTATGGTTAGATTGCATGAAACATATGTGCTTTTCTTTTCTTTTTTCAGGAATCTGCACACTATAGTGCAGATAGCATCAGCAACATCATACGCACGCCACAGAGACAAGACTAGTGAAAGGATTGCTTCATTCAGTGCACCAAAGGGAATATGACATAATTCTTGGACTCCTATAAACGCCACAGAGGTCCAAGCTGTGGTTTTATCCACAAGTGGTGCATCTTTCGCTTGTTTTTTCTGCAAGTTTAGATTTTGTCTCAAGTCTGAAACATGGCAAAGATGTGCTGGAACAGAGAAAGTGTTAGAAATGACCCTATCATACAAACAAACAGCCTCACAACTAACCATGCACAAAAATGAATGAAACAGACTCGGCTCTGGTGAATGAGCCTCATAAAATCATACAAGTGTTAGGGTTTTTCAAACTGATGACTGGTAGTGGAAAAATAGAAAAAAGAAAAAAGAAACAAAACCTGGGCTGCACCATGGCAACCATCACACAGACAACTGCATGGCGATGGATCCCAGTGACTTAATTGGCTTAATAATTAAAAGATATGAAAACCTTTTGTGGGTAATGATGTGAGTAATCACTGAGCAGCTATAGGACCAGCCGTGCGGCTACAGCAGCACTCGGAGGACTATACAATAACTGCATATAGGTTTCCCAATTTCAGAGGAATGTCTTGATCTCAGGGGGACTTTAACAAGGTGCGATTTAACAAACTGTTAAATGTTTTGTCAGCTCTTCAAAGTCTACCCGCTCAAAGTCTACGTAGTATTTTGTTTTTTGAACTTACTGCTATAGAGTTGGAAAACTGCCAAATGATCCATCCATATGATCAACCTTTGCATGAAAGAAGATTAAGTAGCCTAAATTAGCCATATTGCATATTGACTGATTGTAGAAATACTCGATTAAAATGACACGTACACGAGCTGCTTTAAAATTTACTTTCTAGCATTTGTTTTTAATTAATTAAAACTTTTTTAATGCTAGAGGCGAGTCTGCATAAATGCAACGGAGCGCGCTGATGCATTGGTCTGCTAAAACAGTAAGTAACAGGCAATTGCTTTGCATACATCCCTCCACTAAAATCCTTTTCTAAAGCAACGTGATTAGTAACGCGTTGTTAACAATGTATAAGTGAAAGGGGGTAAAGTGTGCTTAGAGATAAACACTGATGAATAACTTCAACATCAGGCTGGTTACTTGTGGCGCTGGAAGGTCTGCGCAGTCCAGCTTTGATGGATACTCACATTCATTTGTTCCTTTCCGGTGTTTAAAGATGATAACTTGCGCTTCCAGATGTACAAATTCCTCTCACTGTTCCCTTATGAAGACGAAGTACAGAGTTACATCCATCCCAGGAAAAAAGGCATTATCCCCGCGGCACACTTTGTTTCTTTCTTTCTAAATTCCTATTCAGGTCTCTTCGATTTCTTATCAGACGAAATGATTAAAAAGAAAGAAGCAAACTTGGTCTCTTTGTAAAAACTTTCCTTTCGTCTTATCGGCATCCACTGCCCGCCTGTCTGGGCTCACACACACTGCTGCAGCACGCTAAGTGAAACCAAACGATGTGGGGGCAGAGCGGTGAACGTCCGTCTCCAAAATCGAATTTCTTCAACACGTGACGGAGTGCAGCCTCCTGCTCCTCTCCTCTTTCTGCTGCTGCTGTGATTACCACAAGGAGCCACACCGACTGCAGAGGCAGGTCAGGTTATTGCTGAACTTTGGTGCCACCATCCTATGCGAAAGGGAAGTGTAAATCAGATACCAAGCTCGCTGTGCTCTGCTCATCTGAAGAGTTAAACTGTAAAAGAAATCGCACAGAAATCTCTGCTGTGGTGACATGTATATGTCAGCACAGTACTTTTATAAATCCACTGATTTTTTTACACGTATATTTGTTAAAACAGCTGAATAATTTCACCAAATAATACAACATACAAACTCATTTTAATCATCCCACTGCTGAAGTAAACTTTCAATCAGTATAAGATATAAACCCTTACATTCATCATATTCATTTACTTGTGCTTCCAGGCACAGTGAGGCTTGAAATGTATAATGTAAATCGGGCCTGGCTTTAGTGATTATGAATTATATCCACCTGAGCTACCTAACAAAACAACCTCGACACAGCCACTGGATCATAAGGAGATCTAGCCATCATACAGACAACACTTTCCTTCAGATGTTGGAAATCAAGAAACCTCCTGGGGGTATTTTCCATCTAAGTCTAAAAAGGATACAATGCCTGTAACTTTTCCTCATATGTTGTGACTCTTTAAAGGAACATAGCTTACATCTTCAGTCAACCCCCAAGGGGAAGCTACACTTTTATCTCTCATGGTGCTGGAGCCATAGCCCTGCTTCACTTTCTTGTCAATCACTAAAAGCTCTGAAAGTTATTAAACCCTTGTCACTTTGTATTTAGAGCTTATAAACATGAGAGGGGCAGAGAGTCCTTTTGTGTCTGTAGTTTTACTGAGAAACATCTGATGGAAATGGGATGAATGCCCCAATGTTTATTCATTTTTCTTCTTTGTCATTAAAGAAATGAATTTGAAAACTGAATTATCCCTGGCAAGACAAAATAAAGACATTTTATTCGTGATATACCTGTGAAGTGACAGTATAAAGGAGGCTTTATGAATAGTAATGAACTAGCTGCTTTGTTCTGTTTGCACTGATTAAGAAAAAGAGAGATTATCAAAAAGAATAAACAAAAAAGCTTGGTCACTCTAACCGTGATCATTTTTTTTATTGCGGCTAAAACTTTCTTTCCTCCAGCCAACCTCGTTATGTCTCCCCACTTTCTCTCTCTGAACTGCTTTTTCACCCAGTGGAATGAGTTCCAGTGCTGGCAGCTTCTCATTATGACTGTGACAGTACAGCAAGGGAGGCAACTCACACAGATATGCATATATTCACACTAATCGACATGCTCAGATGGTTTTACTTCCACAGGGACAATCATCCATATTATCTACACTACCTGTCCCTATTTTAATGCCAGACAGACAGAACAACTTAAAATGACATGGAGCTTGGCTCTGTTCTTTATGCCCTGGATGTAATTTCGAGTGCAAAGCATCAAAAGACAGATACAAGTGGGAGTTAAATAGTATGCTGTGCACAAAATAATATTTGCAGTATGCATTAAAAGAATCCAGCAGACGTAATACGTATTGGTGTTCTTAGATAGCAGTGTAGATAAATGTTTAGCAGAGCTGGAAAGAAAATAAAGTGTTTTGTTTATGTTTTATTTCCTTTCGTAGATAACATGTAGGGCTGTTTCATATCAATTCAAGTTGTTACTGACACCATCTCACTATCTTCGCAGTTCCTCGTGCAGCATTATGTTAAACAAAGTAAAATCCTTTACCTTATCAAGATTCATTTTTATTGCAAATATCCTTTTCTTTTTTTAACATAAATATATTAAAAAGCAAAGCCACAAAATCTGCCCAGTGACAAAGCAATGGATTGTCAAATATCCTGTTCGCATACTAATGACAAAATGTTCACTTGGCATCACTTGGCTTGCCTATTCCAAATTTGATAAATTATTAAAGATGAAAAGATGTACAGAAACTAGGAGCACAGATGTCAAACTGATGGATTTGTTTATGGTTTTGCAAACAACAATAAGCAGATTAGGTATTGTACTGTGGATAAATCAAAACACGAGCGGAGCATCTGTTTTCCATCCAGCGTCGGTGCTGGAGTTCCATACAAAAGTGTCGTTTACGTAAGTTTACGTCGTTTTAAAGGCTCTGTCTGCATTAATTTTACCTATGCTCACCTCACACTTCAGTTTTTCAAGTCCGTTCATATGCATGAGATTGTCCAATTTATTTACTGTTTAATGCATTGAGTTCAGTTCCTACTTGGCTTTAACTGACTTGACTGTCCTCATGAGTCATATAAGGCCATGAATAAAAAAACAAGGTGCCGTAATGGTGGACAAATCTGCAATTCTACTTTGAGGTTAGATGCTGTCCACATCAAGACGTTGTGGTCTTAGTAATTTTTCTGTGCTGCTTATTTTAGTGACATTTGACCGTGGATTAGAGGGAGTACCACAGCTTGGCTCCTTTACCCCTTGCAGAAAGACCATGAAAGAAATAATAAATAGATTGAGTTTAATCAAGATTAAAGGTAAGTGTGTGACATGCCACTCTTTCTCAGGAAATCATATCAGTAACTGCTTCTAACCTGATACACAAAATGTAAAAAAACAAAACAAAATACATGTATTTGTGAAATAAAACATCATGGTGTTGCACCACAAGCAATTTTTCAGCTGCTACATTAAAACCATAATAAGACTCAGATGTCCTTGTATCTCCCTACCCTGTAATTCTCAGTGTTTTGATGAAATATGATTTTTGTGAGATCTTTTCATTGAATTCTCAGTTTCTTTTGTGTAGCAATTGGCCCCACACATCATTGATGGCTGATTTGTGATTTTTTTTATTTATTTATTTGCTCTCATAAAGTTTATATCGTGGCATTTGCAAGTGTGCCCTGGGTAACAAAAAAGGCTTTGAATGCGTTTAATTTGCAGCAACAATTTCTTGTTGTTTGTCAAGTCTTGGAAAACAAAATAACAAAAATGGGGATGACCTAATGAAGTTTTTGGTTAAAAAATGAAATAGGGGGAATAACAAGATGATTAATTTAATAGTTTTTGTAGCATTCCACAGAACAAAAAGCTGAGGAAAAGATATATATACATCAAATACTGAACTTGTTAAGCCACTAAGGCGTGGATTATCTGAGCATGCTCGCGTTCATTTCATTCTTTAAAAGTAATGGATTCATTTGTGATGCTTAAATGTAAATATTCTGTAATCCAGAACAAAATCCAGGACACAGACTTCACAATGCTGCTCTACCGGAACCCCATCTGGATCAAAACACAATGGAAGTTATGTCTGCAAGGTGAATAGTACAAAATGTTGAGGGTGGGGGGGTTGGGCACATATTTAAGCAGAGGCCTAATGACTTACGTTGAGACGAAACACTAACCAGAAGCAGTAGTGAACCATTTCCTCCAGACTGCTGTGCATTTCAGGAAATATGAGCTCTAGCGTGTTAAATGTCACCTTTTAAGTTACGGATGGGAAAAGTTCATATGAAACCTGCACAGTTCAAGATCAAGTCATAGAGTATCTAACGTTTCATGCTGTTTGGTGTGTTTTCTTTTTTTGTATAGTGCATGCATTTATTACCCTTATTGATATAGTGCATATTCTACGCTAGACTTACACTGTGTGATCCTTTCCACAGGATACTGCATATTGAATGAGCATGTGGTTTTCATTTGGTTGATAACGTTCTGGGAATACCTACCTCTTTGTCATCTTCTGGTTAATAGTGAAGATATTTTATAGATTTCATGTCTCCACAAATTGCCATAATAAATTGTTCATGAAACCAAAAATCCTTGTGATGCTCTGACACAGAAATGAAGGGCTTACAAAGAAAGAGGTTTACTCTCAAGTTCTTCACTGTGATTACTGAACAACGTGAGTAAGCATCTGTAAAACTTAATGTTGCGTTTGCTTTACTCAGAACTAATATCTGGTTCCTTTTTTTTCCCCAACAGATGCAAACATGAAAGGGATTGATATAGCCCTGTGTACAGTATATATTTGAAAGAGCAGCCTGCAGAGGTGATCCTGCTTTCACTTTTCTGTTACTGGGTCAAATCTCCCTGTGATGCCAGCTTAAAAACTTTATTATTTTGTGTCTGAGCATAGCTGTTTATAAAAACGACCATCTTAGTGGTTAAATTAGTTTTTCCTTCTGAATTGTTAACTACAGTCTCATTGACCACATTGTAACCAACAAAAAAGGCAAAGATAGTATAATTGGTGTGTTAACTCCAAAAAAGTACAGTCTCATCCAGGAGGCAGCGTATAATTCTTTCGGGGTCATCCTGTTCCTCAATAGTCTGTGCTGTTTCTAGGAAAGTTGTATTTTCCTTAGAAAATACAAGGTGTGAATGTGAGAATACATAAATACAAAACAGAGCTCTGCTGACAAAGAGCCTGCCTGAATTGTATGTGTGGATTTAAGAGCTTAAGAAAAAAGTCACTAACCACAACAACTTTTGCAACAAAGCCTGTTGTTATCTTATTTTATCCTAGCAGACAAACTTTTAAAAACCTTACCACTGCTACAAAAAAACCCACCTATGCTTCTGGTTTAGTATTGTTGTTTATACCTGTCGCCAATCCTAACTTATTGAACTCAGATTATCTTTGTTTCTTGTTAAGACAAAAATCTAATTTAAGATAAAGTGAAGGTTTTGAGGCCAAGAGGCTATCTTAACTCTCAAAGAAAAATGAGGTCTGACAGTAAATAATTTCCAGTGTCTCAGATCCTTTTTAATGTGTTTTAAGTATTCCTATGGTCTTGAATATTTGTGACTATGGTGTGTAATGACTCTTACAAAATATCATTTATTCATGTCATGGTATTTTACTCCTTTGGTTTAATCTGGTGAGTTTAATCACTGTTAAACATGGTAAATAGACTTGTCTCTGTTGTCCTGGTTCTTGACAAATAACCGGTTTAATGAACTGTACAAAGAAA